TTTGAACTACCCGTTGTCGGGGTTAGTTTGTTTTGTGGAGAACGATTAATCTGTCAGTTTGTCCTAAAGGCTGTCTGTCAACAGCTTTGGCTCTTAAAAGGACAAGTCTTAGTGTCTTAGTTACGGGTTTATGGCAATGAGGAGACACCATGACCACAGCAACTCTTATAAAGGAAAACATTTAGCTGGCTTACAGTTTCAGAGGATTAGTCCATTATGGTCATGACAGAAAGAAGCATGGCAGCACACAGGCAGACATGGTGCTGGAGAGGTAGCTGAGAGCTCTACATCTTGATCCACAAGCAATAGAAATTGAACTGAGTCCCATGCTGGGTGTAGCTTGAACTTTTGAGACCTCAAAGCCTGCCCTCACAGTGACACACTTCCTCCAACAAGGCCACAACTCCTAAGAGTAGTGCCACTCCGTATAGGCCAAGCATTCAAACACATGAGTCTGGGAGGCCATACTTACTCAAACCACCACACTTAGGCTTATTAGTGTTTATGCAAATGATAATATAAAGGTTTGTTTATTTTTTGTTTTTTTGAGACAAGATATCACTCTAGCCCAAGCTGTCCTGGGATTCACTGCATATCCCCAGCTGACCTCAAACTCACAGCCTTCATATTGTCTCTGTAAACCCTAAGTATTTTTTTTATCTCAATATAATTGGGTAACAACTTGTTTGCAGTTATACATATGTAAAGTATGTATGTCTATTTTTTTTTTGAAGCAGAATCTCACTGTATAGTCAAAATTGTCCTTAAACTCAAAATTTTTCTGCCTCAGCCTCCCAGGAACAGGGATTACAAATATGTTTATAAGCCCTGAGGATGTTTCTAGAATCAGTCGTTCACTGATTTGCCCAATTACAGGGTGGTTGATTGGGGTTTTTGTTTGTTTGTTTGTTTCAATTTTTAATTTTTTGTTTTTGTTTTTCGAGACAGGGTTTCTCTGTATAATAGCTCTTTTCTGTCCAGGAACTTGCTTTGTAGACCAGGCTGAATTCACAGGGATCTGCCTCCCAAGTACTGGGATTAAAGGCGAGCCAGTTTACAGGTTTTTATTTATTTTGCTTTGCTTTGTTCTTTTGATAGAGGGTCTCAGGTAGTCCAGGCTGGTCTTGAGTTTGCTATGTAGCCAAAAATAAAGTTCCTTCCTGAACTTCCTGAATATTAGAAAAATTACAGGTCTTTAATCGAACTTCAATACTTTATAAACTCTAAGAACAATAAATTGCTTAATGCAAATAAAATTTGTATTAAGTTGAGCAGATTTTAAGAAGATCCTATATAGGGTTGAAGAGTAGCTTTGTTGGTAAAGTGTTTGCCAAGCAAGCGTGGGGAGTACCTGAGTTCAGATCTCTAGCGTCCGTGTAAAAGCTGGGCTGGCAGTGTACCTGTAATCCCAGTATTGGGAAGGCCAAGACAGGAGGCTCTGTGGGGCTTGCTGGCCCTCCAGAAATCAGGTGGAGAGTAACAGCGGAAAACACTGAATATTAACTTCTAGCCTCCACATGTGCATATGTGTGCACATGGAATACATCCACAGACGTCTTAGTAATGAGCACCACTGATTAAAATAACATTGTAAGAGTTGCCCTCGGAGTCTGGAAGAGAGCACTGGAGTTGGAGTTACAGGTGGTTATGAGCTGGGTGGTGGGTGCTGGGAACTGAACCTAGATCCTTTGGAAGAGTAGCACATGCTCTTAAGCACTGAGCCCTCTCCCTGGCCGCACAGTTTGTCTTTCAGAAGGTATTTGAGTGTGAGTGTGTGTGCTGAAGTTGGCTCAGTGATTAAGAATGTAGAATGCAGAGGACCACCAAGAGTGGGCAGCGTGCAGCTGCTTGTAACTCCACCTCTCGGGGATCCAGTGCCCTGGCCTCCAGGCACCGGCACTCAAATGCACATACGTACATGGGCTCATGTATGTGTGCACACAAAATTTTTTAAAAATCTTTAAAAGCTTTTTTGGGCGGAGTGCTGGGGGCCCATTGAAATGGCTCCATGGCTTGGTGGATAAAAGTTCTTGCTCTGCGTGCCTGGAGACCTGAGTTCTATATCTATATCCTACATAAAGGTAGGAGAGAACACACACATGCACAGAAATACTAAAATTAGTATTTGTTTCAAATGTTGTATAATTTTACTCTTGTTAGAAAAAATTTCAGTCACATACGGGGAAATTTTGTGAAGTCCCCCCCAGTTCCATCAGCTCCTTCTCTAGAGGCATCTCCTCTGAAGAGTTCTATCCACCCCGATGTCTTCCTATGATAATAAATAGTACAGGGAGTAAACGCCACTACATTTCTCTAGAGGCGTCGCCTCCCTCCTAGTCCTCATCTCCATTTTGAGACTCATCTCCTTGGTGTGACTCTTTGAGGTCTTTCGCTTTGCATGCATGTAAGGTGTGTTATAAAGCCTAATTTCACTTTAGAGATAATTAGACTGTGTGCAGTGTGTGCTTGTATATGGGAGAGGGTTTAGGACTGATGAAATATTTTTATGGTGGTTTTTTTTTTTTTTACCACTTGCTTTTTTCTGAAACAAGATCTCAGTGTGTAGCCCCAACTGTCCTGGCTCACTACACAGACTAGGCTGACCCTGAACTCACAGAGATCCTCCTGCCTCTGCCTCACCAATGCTGGAATTAAAGGTGGGTGGCACCAACCTTTTTTTTTTTTTAAACTTTTATGTATGTGGGTGTTTTGTCTGAATTTATATCTCTGTACCACATGCATGCCTGATGCCTGCAGAGACCGGAAGAGGGCATTGGATTCCCTGGAACTGGAGTTACAGATGGTTGTGAGTCAGCATGCTGGAAATGGAACCCATGTCCTCTGGAAGAGCAGTCAGTGCTCTTAACTACTGAGCCAGTTCCCCAGCCCCTTCTTTTCAACTCTTGATAATGTCTAGCTTTTTAAAAGCTGAATGTGTAGGGATGTGTTAGTATGTAATGGTTTTAATTTCAATTTCTTTGATGAGTGAAGTTGAATACCATTTTAGATGTTCATTGGCAACCTCTGTATTTCTTCTTCACTAAGCATCCTGTTCATATACATTAACTCATGTTCTTACTCTTCAGTGATTTTATTTTGATCACCACTGTGTGTATGGATGAAATTTGTACATGGTTTATACTTAATTTTTTTATATTTATGCAGAGGAGGGCAGTGTCATGCGTGTGGTCAGAGGACAATTTGAAGGAGTTGATTTTTTCCTTCCAGTCTGTGGATTCTAGGGATAAAACTCAGTTTGCCAGATTATCTGCTGAGCCAATCTTGCCAGCTGGGGTTTTTGAATTTTGGTAGTCCACTTTTACTAGAATCAACCAAAAAACTATTAGGAGGAGGGTTATTTAAAGATTTTTCATTTTACCAGGACTCAGTTTTATTACTGTTTTTGAATATTGGTAATGGTTAGGTCATTTTTTTGTCAAACTAACTTAATTCTGCCTTTTTTGTTTACTTTGTTACACAGTCTCACTCTTAGACTGGCCTTGAACTCACTGTGTAGCTTATACTGTCCTCAAACTCAGGGTGATCCTCCTGTCTCAATTAGTGTTAGAGAAACCCAGTTGAGGTTATAGGAACCTCAACTGGGTTTCTCTGTGTAGCCCTGATTGTCCTGGAACTCTGTAGACCAGGCTGGCCTCAAACTGGATCCACCCACCTCTGCCTCCTGAGTGCTGGGATTAAAAGTATGCACCACCATGCCTGGCTGTCTTCTTTTTTAATTGTCCATATGGAAACCTACCAGAGCCAATGATAAGGAAAAAGAATCACACAGTTGATATTAATAATAATGTACTATTAACCTCTGAAAGTGCAATGTAACCTTCCTTTTATTGATGTCTAAACTAAGAAAGTAACTCATCCAACAGCTCAGAAATGTCTAAGATGAGATTTAAACTCAGTCCATCTGATTCCAAAGCCCCTGCCAAAACATCATACCACCTCATTAGAGTGGTTATACGTTAAACACAGCCTTCCAAAGTATATGTATTTTGTTAATGCATGGTCCTGTTCAAAGTGATTAAAATTGTTTTTTTGTTTTGTGGATTTTTTTTAATCATTAAAAAAAATCATTTTTATCTGGGTGGCAGAAGCAGGCAAATCTGAGGTTCTAGCCAGCCTGATTCTACATTGTGAGTTCCAGGCCAGCCAGTGCTACATAATGAGACCGTTTCACAAAGGAGGAAAACAACAATAAAAATAAGCATCTAAACCAGGTGGTGGTACATGCCTTTAATTCTAGCACTCGGGAGGCAGAAGCAGGTGGATCCCTGTGAGTTCGAGGCCAGCCTGGTCTACAGAGTGAGTTCTAGGATGGAGAAAGGTTCCAAAGCTATACAGAGAAACCTTGTCTTGAAAAAATGAAAAAACAAACAAACAAACAAGCAAAAATTTCAGCACTCAGAGTGAGTTCCAAGACAGCAAAGGCTACACAGAAAAACCCTGGGAGGGAGGGCACTTAAAAATGTGTATTTTTAATGTCTGTGTAGATGTTCAAATGATACTGTTTACAAGCCTGTATGCAGTTTGACAGATGTGCTTCTCTATGGTAACTTTAACATAAATAATGATAGTTGTTCAACAAAATATAGTTCAAGCTGGATGTGCTGGCACATGCCTGCAATCTCAGTGTTTAGGGGCTTGAGTTTGAGGCCTGCTTGGGCTGCATGAAGAGCTAGAAACCACCCTGGGCTATATTAGTAAGACCTGACTTACAGAAAAAAATGAAGTGGGGAGGAAGAAGAGAAAATCTTCTATAAAGGATTTCTATTTTAGGCCCCGACTATTAAAATGTAGTATATAAAATAACAGTCTTAATATACTGCTTTTATCTGTTATAGGTAGTTGGGTTTTTTTTTAATTTTTTTTTCCATTTTACATAACAGGCAGTTATTGACTCAATAGCAAACTTCAATACCTTTCCAGTGCTGAAAATGTGTATTTTGCCAATACCAATTATTTTCTTTAACTTTCTCCTCTTTCAGTAAAAGATGGCAAAGCTTTTCATCCAACTTACGAAGAGAAACTGAAGTTTGTGGCACTGCATAAGCAGGTTCTCCTGGGCCCGTATAACCCAGACACTTCCCCTGAGGTTGGATTCTTCGATGTGTTGGGGAATGATAGGAGGTAACAAGTGTTTTCTTATTTAGTAAATTTAATAATGATGTTAGAAAGAGGCATGATGTGGATTGCTTAAGGTGTAAATAGTTAACTTCTTAGGGTAGCATAGCAAATGAGACATTGATTTTGCTCATAATGGAAGAAGTTTACTTACCTGCTTATGAACATAAGACAAGTACAGTTTCATCGGACTCTTCCTAAATAATATTGAAGACAGAGATTTGAAACATGTACTACTATACTAGGGCTGGAGAGATGGCTCAGTTGTTAAGAGCTGTTAAGAATCAAACCATCTCTACTTCCAGTTTCAGGGTGTCTGAGGCCCCCTTCTGTCCTCCAAGGGCACCAAGCCTGTGAGTGGTGCACAGGTAAACATGTAGGCCAAACTCCCATCAGCATAAAACTGTAAAATACATACGATTGACTCCCTTATTGAGACATACATAATTGTGCCAGAAAATGGAGTGGTTTTGTTCGGTTCAGGCTAAAATATATAAATAAACTATAGGTTGCTTTTTGACAAGTGTGAATAATCAAAATGCATTTGTATTTTGGAATGTTTATGGCATCTTAATATATTGGTATAGGTTTGTTGAAACTTGACATTCTAAACTTTTTGCTTCTAGTAATTGTAGTTGAGTATTTTTCATGTAGGTTTAATTAAATAGATTCTCATTTTGCTAAGGGAAGGTAACTGTTCTTTTTATTCTTTGCAGGAGAGAATGGGCGGCCCTGGGAAACATGTCCAAAGAGGATGCCATGGTAGAGTTTGTGAAGCTTCTAAATAGGTGTTGTCCTCTCCTTTCAGCGTATGTTGCTTCCCACAGAATAGAGAAGGAGGAAGAAGAGAAAAGAAGGTGATGTTACAGGGCGTGCATGGTAGTGGGCCATTGTGCACTGCTGCTTTTGCTGTGTGGAGTATCTATCTGTTCTAGAGCAGACATCTTTCTTTTCTTCCTCACTTCCGCTTCTTGGGGCAGGTTTTCAGAACTCTGATGTGAGCAGGTTTTCATCTAAGTTTGAAGGAAAGGGGCTGCTTCCTTCTGTTAAAATGAACCCCATCTACAGCAGCATTCTCTGCTTTTTCCTTCGAGGCAGAGTCTTGCTGTGTAGCCCAGACTGGCCTCTTGAGTGCTGGGATTACACCTGTGGACTACCACCCCTGGCTACTTTTGTCTCACTGCAATAAGCTTTTGAACAAGCTCAACCATGAATTCATCCACTCCTTCCTCCCTATTTTCTGGTCTGACATACCATTTGCTTCTGTCTTCTGGAGTGTTCCTATTCCATTTTATGGTTTTTAACTGTGCTCTGTGGAGGGTTTACACAGACATGTGTTGGCTTTGGATCCTAGATAGCTTATTCGTTATTTCTAGCATTTGGAGTAGATGCTGCTGAGGTCACTGTTTATGTTTCTGAGATTCTCTGTTGTTATGAATTAGATCTTAGCTTGGTGTGGTGGCACACAGCTGTCTTGTGCCCCTACCCCTGTTATTTTGAGGGTTTTGTTGTTGTTGTTGTTGTTTTGTTTTTTTAACAACTTTGATTGTCTGAGTGTCTTCGGTAATGAAATCAGTACAGTAAACTGTACTGATTGATATACTTTAGAAATAGCTGGGCCTCTGATTTCCTGTTTATCCTAGGTTAGAAATAACCATTTAGGGGGCTAGAGAGATGGTTCAGTGGTCAAGAGAATTAACTGCTCTTCCAGAGGTCCTGGGTTTGATTCTCAGCACCCATGTGGAGGAGACTGACAACTATCTATAACTCCAGTTCCACCCTCTCTTGGCGTCTGTGAGTGCCAGGCACACATGTGGTTCGCCTGGATATACATATAAGCAAAATACATAAAATAAACACATAAAATAAAAAGTAAAAAGTAAACTAAAAAATTAAAAGAAAAATAGCCCGACAATGAGTAAATTATAAAAGTGCTGTGCTGGATGGCGCATGCTCTGTAATCTGGTATTTGGAAGGCAGAGGCAGAAGATTACTCAAAATTCAGGACCAGTCTGGTCTGCATAGCAAGTTCCAAGCCAGGAGGGCTACATCATGACACCTTGCCTGAAACAAACAAACCCAGTGACATAAATTATATGTCATAGATAATCAAAGTAAGACGTTTTGTTTCGGGTTGTTTTTTTTTTTTTTTAATTTTATTTATTTTATGCGTATGTGTATTTTGCCTGCATTGTCTTTGTGTGTGCAGTATCCTCAGAAGCCAGAAAACAGCATTGGAACACCTGGGACTGGAGTTAGAGATGGTTGTGAGCCATCATGTGGATGCTGGGAACCGGATTCTGGTCTCTTAAAAGAGCAGTATATGCTCCTAACTGCAGAGCCATCTCTCTAGCCCACCCCGCCCCATCTCTTTTTCTTTCTTTTTCTTTCTTTTTTTTTTTTTTTTTTTTTTTTGGTTTTTCGAGACAGGGTTTCTCTGTGTAGCTTTGCGCCTTTCCTGGGACTCACTTGGTAGCCCAGGCTGGCCTCGAACTCACAGAGATACGCCTGGCTCTGCCTCCCGAGTGCTGGGATTAAAGGCGTGCGCCACCACCGCCCGGCCTCTTTCTTTTTTTTTTAAAGCAGGGTTTCTAAGCTGTGTGTAGCTTTTGTTGTCCTAGAACTCACTCTGAGGCTGGGCTCAAACTCAGAGATTGACTTTCTCTGCCTCCCAAGCACTAGGATTAAAGGTACCACGGCCCAATCCCATTTTTAAAGGGATTTCACTATGTATCTCTGGTTAGCTTAGAACACAGAGATGTGCTTGCCTCTGCCTCCCCAGTGCTGAGAGCCACCATGCCAGACTAAGACTTGATACTTAATGAAAATGAAATAATATAAGAGTTGATTTATATATTATAGTACGTTGTTGAATCAGATGTAATGTCTTTAAAAGTTGCCTTTTTTGATTCTTGCTTACTTTTATTTATTTTGTCATTAAAGACTATGAAAGCACCCATCTAATAATTATTCTTGATATACTCATGTATGTTGTGAGATTGACTCCATATTTTAAGTTTCTACTACATGGAAGTTTATGTGTTTGAACTTTTAACAGATTGCTATTCTCTGAATAGATTTTTGTCTTATTTTTCACTGGGAAGTGAAATTTAAGTGATTTAAAAATAAGATTGACTGCAGAGTTCATTCTCTTTGCTCTGTCTGTCCCTTATAGAAAGGCGGAGGAGGAGCGAAGGCAGCGTGAAGAGGAAGAGCGGGAGCGTCTGCAGAAGGAAGAAGAGAAACGGAAGCGGGAAGAGGAGGAGAGGCTTCGACGGGAGGAAGAGGAGAGGAGGCGGATGGAGGAGGAGAGGCTTCGGCTGGAGCAGCAGAAGTGAGTTGTGTGCCTTAGAATGCCCCTGTGACCATGTGCCTGGGAGAGAACCCGTCAGCTCCTTTTCTTTTGGTTTTTCGAGACAGGGTTTCTACGTGTAGTTTTGGTGCCTGTCCTAGATCTCGCTCTGTAGCCCAGGCTGGCCTCGAACTCAGAGATCTGCCTGGCTCTGGCTCCTGAGTGCTGGGATTAAAGGCGTGTGCCACCAGCGCCTGGCTACTCCTTTTCATTTTTAGCAGTGACTTTTGTTTTTTACCAAAGAGTAATGAGCTGAAGAAATTCGGGGTTAGCTTGTAAACCTGAAGACTAGAAGCAACGATTGAGGTCGCCCAGTTGCTCTGTCTTGAGTCCGATGTCGCTAAGTCCTCAGGACCGCTAGTCTTCTTAGTCTTCAGTGCTCTCTGCGGTTTCTGTTCTTCGTCTTTACAAGGCTGTCTTACCTAGGGGCTGTGTCATCTATTTTTTGTGTATCTGAGAGGCTGGCTAGATAAACATTGTGAGGACCTAGAGCCTGGCTAACCCATGTGTACCAGATAGCCATTCCCAGCTCCAGTACAGGACGTGGGAGCTGAAGTTTCTATATTCAGCAAAGGCTGAGAGCAGCTGTCTCAGAAAGGCCTGGCTTTCAAAGGACAGCTGTAGACACAAAGGTAAACACAGAAAAGGAGGTCTGGATCCAGGGATGGCATGGCAGCAAAGGTAAGCCAGGACACTTGAGGTACAATGAGTTCTCCTCACTGTTTCCAGCAGTTTCTCGGAAAACCTTCCATGGTAACTAGCCTCAAAGTGATCCATGGCCTTGTTCTACTGCGGAGTGAGGTTTTTAAAGCCATTCTCTTTTGGATTTCGAGTTGAACACCTAAGGTGACCCAGTGTTAGTTGTTAGTCGGTTTCTGAAGTTTTTGCTTTATTTATCTGTTTATTTCTTAATAAATAGACTTGAAGTCTTTCGTAAGTGGTCACATAACAGGTTTGAAACATGTAGTTTTCTCTAAAAGAAAATAAAGAGAATTGTAATAATTCAGTAGAAACTGGTGTTCTTCAAACAAGGTGCAGCGGTATACAGCTTTGATCCAGCACTTCAGAGGCTGAGTTGGGGCCAGCCTGGGCTCTATATAATATACCCCATGGAGAGAGGGAGGGAGGGAGGAAGAGAGAGATCACTAAACCAAGCAGCATGCCCTGCTCTTACTATCTTCATACTTCTTAATAAAGGCACCTTTAAGTCAAGTGCCTCTAACATCAGTTAGCTATTCACCTGCCTTGTGCTGTTCTGGGCTGTTTAGGTAGAGAAGCCATAGTCATAGTCAAACACCCATCTGTGCCCAAATGGCAGTCAGTCATCTTACAGCATCATGGTGAATGGGTACGGTTTCTGGAGTCAGACCAGCTAGATTTGAGTCCTGACTCTCGAATCTGGCTGCAGTCAAATCTTGGGCAGTTGCTAAACAACCTCACAGTGTCATCAGAGACTAAGTGGGTTGGTACGTGTAAATGCTTTAAACATTGCGGGGCACATCAAAAAAGCACAGTAAGTGTTACTAATTAATGATGATGTTGACGGTGGTGATGTGCTTAGTATTCTCTATTCCAATTTTTCTTGAAAAACCTAAGTAAAAAATTAGAGGTCAGTTTTTTCCTTAAATATTCTGGGCCTGGAACACATGGTTTTGTTCAGCTTTATTAGTTTAGTCACTTTTAAGTTCTAAACTGTAAGAATGAACAGGACATTTCATTTTGTCATGAACAGTCTCCTGTCGTTAGACTGGCATGTATTTATTAATGTTTTTAGGCAGCAGATAATGGCAGCTTTAAACTCGCAGACTGCCGTGCAATTCCAGCAGTACGCAGCCCAGCAGTATCCAGGGAACTACGAACAGCAGCAGATTCTCATCCGCCAGCTGCAGGAGCAGCACTATCAGCAGTACATGCAACAGTTGTATCAAGTTCAGCTTGCACAGCAACAGGTATGACAGCAGCTTTAGAGAAGGTGTTGTGTTTCCATGGAACCCAGTTTCTTTCCTAACAGTTGGGGATGAATTTTGCATCAGCTAGCCTCTAAGGTATAAAGTAACTCTTTAGCTGATCTTTTAGGCAGTCTATTAGCATTGTACTAGCAGTTACGAGAGAAAATACAGGCTCTTGAATCTCAGAGGATGTACCTTTATATTATAATGATTTTTATGTGTATATTGTTGTGTGGGAGTTGTATAAGTCTAGTGTCATAACAGTGAGTCTGGTATGGATTAGTAGTGCCCTGTAATTATGAGGACCTGGGTAGCTAGCCTTAGTGTAAGAACATCCTTCAGCAGAACATGCAGTGTGAGGGTGAGACAGCTTTAAAGGGATGGACTCCATAGAACTCATGACAGCATATACTCCTTCTCTAGCATCCTATTCCTGAATATTTGCTTCATCATTTAGATAGCTTGTACTGGAGAGATGGCTCAGCTGTTAAAGGCTAGGCTCACAACCAAAACTATAGAAGGCGGTTTAAGTGAAAGACATGGTACTTGGATTCTGTCCTGATTCTGCCATTATCGTTTGATTTTCTGACATGCTACTATTGCTATGATTACCTGCTTTTTCTCAAGTTCTGTGAAACTGAGACCCAAGATCAAGGTTCCTGACCTCACAGGATTATAAAGGGAAGAGAAGATAATAGCTAGACCTGGTGGTATAAACCTGTAATACCAACTGCCCAGGTGCTGAGAGTTCAGACTAGTCTGGGCAGCTTTAGAAGGACCCTATCTCCAAGTGGAAAAGGGAGAGAGGTGGAGGAGGGGTATAGAAAGGTCAATTAATTGATTTATAAATGTTTACCATATTGGACTGTGAGACTTTTGACAAACAAAATCAGCATACACACATTTATTCATTATATAATAATAAATAATTTTTAGAAAGGTAGAACATTTTTAAATGAAATAACTTCTCTCCCCTAGTTTTAGAAATCAGTGAGATGTTAAAAAACCTGTAGGTTCAGTATAACCCATGAGAGGATCAGAAAGATACTAAACCACAGTTTAGTAACATCATTTTTAGAGATGCTTTGCTGCCGTCTATAGCCTGTTTCTGCTTTAGTATTTTACCACCCACCCCTACTCTTGGTTAGTTAATAGGCAGTGAGATAATAAGATTGCTGTTCTATACTTCATGTTCATAGACTGCTATCACTTTATGAGGAAGAAGTCATGCTGGTAGGATAAATCCAAGAAATGGAATTAGAAGTCTCAGAATTGGTGTGATCAAACTCTAATTGGTTGCTTCTGGGGATAGATAGGTACAGTAGGCTGCCTGAGAATTCCGCCTCACAGCTTCGTTACCACTCAGGTTCTTTTCTAACTTACTAATGAATTTTACATAAGAGGAAGGAAGAAGGAACTTCACTACTCTAAAGGATTAGGTAGCCTTTATGAACTGCTCTGCTGGCGTCTGCTCTCTCTGCTGTGTTGTTGCTGTACCTTTCTGCTTTTGTTTTTAAGGCAGGATTTTGTGTAGCTGAGGCTGAAACTCAAACCTTAACCCCCAGGGGCTGGGATTACAAAACATGCACTACCAAACCTAGATCTTCCTGTCCTTTTGAACACTTCTCTCAAAGCGTGCGTGTGTGTGTGTGTGTGTGTGTGTGTGTGTGTGTGTGTGTGTGTGTGTATAGATAGATGGATGGATGGATGGATGGATGGATGGATGGATGGATGGATGGATGGATGGGGGGGAGTGCTACATAAATAATTGCAGCCTACTGTATCTATTAGAAGAACGTTCTAGGCCGTGGGATCCAGAGAAGGGAGTTTATTGATTTTACTGTAGAATTTCAAGAAATGATTAGCTCCAAGAATGCCTTCTCGTCCTCCACCATCCTGTAATGTTTTGAATGTATTGACTTGTTTTGGTTGTATGTACTTTTCTAATAGTTGGTGCTTTTTTTTTTTTTTTTTTTTTAACTAACCTTGCAAGTGATTTAGAATCTAAGCCTTAGAATATATTTTAAAATCTTGTGTTGGGCAGTGGTGGTGCACGCCTTTAATCCCAGCACTCGGGAGGCAGAGCCAGATGGATCTCTGAGTTCAAGGCCAGCCTGGTCTATAGAGGGAGATCCAGGACAGGCACCAAAACATGGAGAAACCCTGTCTTGGAAAAAAAAAAAAAAAAAACAAAAACAAAAAAAAAAAAACTTGTGTTTTGGCTGGGTGATTATGTCACACACCTTTAATCCCAACACTCAGGCAGCAGAGGCAAGTGGATTTCCTTGAGTTTGAGGCCAGCCTGATCTACGAGCGAGTTCCAAGACAGCCAGGGCTACACAGAGAAACTCTGTCTTGAAAAACACACACACGAAAAGATACCATGTTTTATATAGTAGCAAAGAGAGGTAATTTTCCTTTAGAAATGATTTCTTATGTGATTGCATGTACAGATAGGCCAGCATACATGTCTCTCTTGGTAATCCTGTAAACATACTTACTTATGATTTCATGTTTTTGTTAAAAGAGTAATATCAGTCCTTGGCCTCCTGGCAGAGGCCAAGTGTTTAAAAAGTACTTATGCTGTCAACTGCATTGCTCTGGCCTTGACCTGACTAGGGTATGGGAATGAAGAAGTGACCCACATAAGTAACGTTAAGCTGGGATTGAGTGCTATGCACTCAGATGGAGACGCTCCAGCAGCAGCATGGAAAGTCACTACATTTACTGCACACAGCAAAACCAGCACCACAGTCATTCAGGACTTTATCTGCTCCCCACATACATTCCCAAATGCCAATGACTAGTTGTATGGGTAAATTTTATATTTTCACAGTGCAATATCCTATAGCAATAATAACAAAATACACTTATTTGTGACCCTTATAGATAGGCCTTACAAAATTAGTATTGAGGGGCCAGACATGGTGATGCCTGTCTTTAAACCCAGCACTCAAGAGGCAAACGCAGGTGGGTCTCTGAGTTTCAGGCCAGCCACGGTTGCATAGTGGAACCCTGCCTTTTTATTTAATGAAAAAAAAATTTTTGTTTTGTTTTTTTGAGACAGGTTTTCTCGAACTCTGAGAGATCACCTATCTCTGCCTCCAGAGGGCTGGGATTAAAGGTGTGAGCCACCACTACCCAGCCATTCCCCCCCCCCCCCCCCCGCCTTTTTTTAAAGGAAAAGTTAGACTTGTTTTTTCTTACAGCACATATTATACAATGATTTATATATGGTTTAAAAGTAGACAAAGCGTATCTACAGCTATTGAATCTGAAAACACTGTTAGAGACGGTGTCTAGAGGAAGGAACTAGAGAGGATTCTGGGGTATAAGTAATTTCTTATTCTCGGTGATGGTTACATAGATATGTTTGATATATGAAAATGGATTAAGCTGTATAATTAATGATTTGCATACCTCTAGTTGAAATTGGGTCTCATGTAGCCTAGGCTTGCCCCAGATTTACTGTGCATGCAAGAGTGACATTGAATGTCTTATATTCCTGCCTCCACCTCTAGAGTACTGGGCTTCCTTCCCGGCTTAGGTCAGCACACTGTGTTGGGGAGTGAGTGCCGGACTGCATGCGCAGGCCGTCACTGTTTGTACATCTTTCTGCGTGGATTTGTGATTCACATTTAAGTCCTCCAGAAGTTAATAGGAGCTAGAGAAATGGCTCACTGGATGACAGCATGTACTGATTTTGTAGTTCCCAGTTCCTAGATCAGGAGGCTCACAAACTGCCTGTAACTCCAGATCCAGGGGATCCAACACCCTATCTTGGACCTCTGCAGGCATCCATGTACATACACACATACATACATACAGTTAAAAATGAAATACACCTTTTTTTAAAAGACAAAAATTACTTAATAGGGTTTTTGTTTGTTTTGTTTTGTTTTTGAGATAGTGTTTCTCTGCATAGCCCCAGCTCTATTGAACTCACTGTAGACCAGGCTGGCCTGGAACTCAGAAATTTACCTACTCTGCTTCCCCAGTGCTGGGATTAAAGGTGTGCACCACCATGCCATGCTGACTTAATAGGTTTTGTTGTTTTTTGTTTTTTGTTGCTGTTTTTGTTTTTCAAGACAAGGTTTCTCTGTGTAGCATCTCTGGCTGTCCTGGAACTCGCTTTGTAGACCAGGCTGGCCTGGAACTGGTTTTAAAGTAACATTGATAGCTGCTCCCATCTTGGTTTGGAAATATCCTTACATAGGTGTTCTTAGGTTAAAGGTGTTGTTAACTCTCCCCCTTTTATTGTTTGTTTTTGTTTTTTGAGACAGGGTTTCTCTTTGTAGCCCTAGCCGTCCTAGAACTCACTTGGTAGTCCAGGCTGGCCTCAAACTCACAGAGATGCACCTGCCTCTGCCTCCTAAGTGCTGGGATTAAAGGTGTGCGCCACCACACTCAGCTAACTCTGCCATTTTGACTCAGGACATTTTTTAAAATGTTACTTATTTTATCTGTGTGTATAAAGGGGACAGAGAAGAACCTGCCGGAGCCAGTTTTCTCTATCATGTGGGTTGGTTGGTTCCAGAGATCAAATTTAGGTCAGCCAGCTTGGCAGCAAGCACCCTTATTTGTTACCCTAGATTCATGTCTGCTGTTGTGATAAAACAGCCTGACAAGGTTTAATTTAGGAGAGAAAGGGTTTATTTTAGCTCACAATTCCAGGTTAGAGTCCATCACTTTGGGAAAGTCACAGTGGCTGGCAGGAGCTTGAGACAGCTGCTCACATCACTTCCACAGTTAAGAGCAGAGAGCGGTGAGTAGGCAGATGTTGCTTCAGGCCCCAGAGATGGTTGGCTCAGTGCTTAAGAGCATTGGCTGCTGTTCCAGAGGTCTTGAGTTTAATTCCCAGCAATCACTTGGTGGCTCACAGCCATCTATAATGGGATCTGTTGCTCTCTTTTGGCATGCAGATGTACATGCAGATAGAGCACCATATACATAAAATAATAAATTAATCTTTTAAAAAAAAAGATATTGCTTTCAGCTGGGTTTTCCCACTCACACAGTTCAGGATCCCTTGCCTGGGGAGTAGTGCTTCCCACAATGCACTGGGTCACATCCTTTGATAAAATAGACAGCGTCTCACAGACATTTCCACAGGCCAATCCAATATAAACAGTGTTTCATTGAGACCTCCTTCCTAGCAGATTCTAGATTTTATCAAGTTGGCAAAACTAACTTGTATGGTTAGTCATCTTGCCAGCCCTCAGGAAATTTTTTTTCTGGAAGATTTATTTATTTTATGTGTATGGGTGTTTTACCTGAATGTATATCTATGCATGTGTACGTGCCTGGTTCCTGCATATACCAGAAGAGGTCATCAGAACCCTGGAATTAAGTTGTGGATGGTTGTGAGTCACCATGTGAATGCTGGGAACTGAACCTGAGTCTTTTGTAAGAGTAGTCAGTACTATTAGCCACCAAACCATCTCTCCAGCTCTTACAATCTAAATACATACTAGTTTGATAGTATACATGCTGAGGAACGACAGCAGGAAGTATTATGTCTTTGTTTTCCATAAATAAGCCATTTTATTTAAGTACAGAAAACTTTATGTGCAATAAACTGTAATTTATAACATAAAATAATCTTGAGTTTGAGCCAAGGTGTATCAGGCAGCTTTCATTGGTATTGTATGTCATGACAGCCATGGGCAAAGCGCATGTGTTTTATGTTGAGAACCAAGGCAGTGTGGAAGTTACCTTGATGCAGCAGAGTTGAGCACTGCTGGAAACACTTCAGTTTTATTATACTTTGATTTTGAATGAATTTGTAGTCCTGTGCATTCGGAAACATGGTACTGTTGCCAGATTTTTTGTGGACACCCCCCAACATTCAGTTGTGGATTAGTAACAGTTTAAAAAGCCGAGTGCTAGGCAAGTGCTGTGGCACTGAGCGCTGTATTCCCAGCCCTCGGTACACTTTGAGACAGACTCTCACTAAGTAGCCCTGGTTGGCATAGAACTCATTCCGTATCTCAGCCTGTTCTTGTACTGCAGTCTTCCTGCCTCAGCCTTCTGTCTGGAGTTACTGGCCCACACCAGTGAACCTCACAAATGTCTGTTCATTGTACTTCCTCTTTCTCCGCCTGATATGTAGATCAGTCTAGCTTCAAGCTCAAGATCCTGCTGCCACAGGCTCCTATGTGCTGGGATTGTGGGCGTGTACCATTGTACCCAGCCCAGTATAAAATGTTAAATGAGAACACACTTTGACCTCTAACTTCACTATTGTGACCCTTAGATTTTAGACCAGTGGTTTTTTTTTTTTTTTTACAGTATGATTGATAGTTTTGTTAAATTTTAGTTAGGGCCTGAGGGTATGATTCAGTAGATGAGCACCTACTAAGGCTAATATTAGGCTCTGGGTTTGGTCTCTAACACCCTAAAACCTAAATTTTAAAAATATTTTTAAATTTGTGATTGTAATCTTTCTGTGAATATTTATTTCTATCCATAGTAGAATAGTTGTCCATATGAGGGTTTGGTTTATTACTTTAGACAACTGTTGTATTCACCAATTAGAGCTTCTGTTTTTGTGAATCTTCTGAAGTATAATTTTCTTAATTTTAATTTTCAGCAGTTGAAGGTGAAAATGAGGGGGTTCAAGTGGTTTTTTTTTCCCCACTTCGGCCTCTGAGTGGTGTGCTGGGTACAAGCATACTTAGCATATCTAGTTTTGTAGTTTGAAGGACAGGCTTTCAGTTGTATCCCTTGTTGGCTGGCACTCATTATGTAGACCAGACTGGCCTCAGACTCACAGAGATCTGTCTCACTCTGGCTCCTGAGTGCTGGGATTAATGGCATGTGCCATCATACTCTGCATATAGTTGAATTTTATTTTATTTTATTTTATTTTTGTTTTTTTCGAGACAGGGTTTCTCTGTGTAGCTTTGGTGCCTGTCCTGGATCTCACTCTGTAGCCCAGGCTGGCCTCGAATTCACAGAGATCTGCCTGCCTCTGCCTCCGGAGTGCTGGGATTAAAGGTGTGCGCCACCACTGCCCGGCATAGTTAAATTTTATTAAAACATAAATAAACATTTTCTTCTACTCAATTTTAAGAATATATATCACTGCTGGGCATAGTGGCATGCCCTTAATCTCAACACTTGGAAGGCAGCGGCATGTTATTATACTTAATTTTGCCTTTAGTAATTTTATCTGAGATTGATAGTTTAATCATGTTTAGCTATCAGTTGGTATTATAGTAATATTTATTACAGAAATGATAAAAACTGGCAAACGTGGATCAAGTTTCTTAGAATGCTTTAGTGTAGAGCCAATGCATGCCGTCAGACTTCACTCCTAGGTAAATGTTAGCCTTTCTGACGAGAGTTATCTTCACTTCTTCTCAATTTGTAGGCAGCATTACAGAAGCAGCAGGAAGTGGTAGTGGCCGGGGCTTCCTTGCCTACATCATCAAAGGTGAATGCAGCTGGAGCGAGTGACATGGTGTCAGTTAATGGGCAGGCCAAAACCCACACTGTCAGTTCTGAAAAGGAAAGTGAGCCAGAAGTGGCAGAAGAAGCCTTGGAAAATGGACCAAAAGGTAGAGTTTATTAGCATATGTGTTTGTCCGTCCAGATACCATTCTGTAGACCTCATGAAAAGCGGGAATCAGGAAGACAAGCTGACGAGCTTTGAGAGCACTTAGGTGGGTGGGAGTCCAACACACCTTTACTCTTTGAATCTGATGCTTCTGTTGACACAGACAGAAATCAGGGCTAGGGATTGTTGCTTAACATTCCCAAAGCCCTGGGTCAGTTTGAAGCACCACATAAAACTGGGTGTGGTGGGACATGCCTGTTACCCTGACAGAAATTTGTTACTTTAGACATCTGTCATACTCATCAATTACAGCTTCTATTTTTGTGAATTATTCTGTAACCATTTGTTTCTTTGAAGTATAATTTTCCTGATTTTAATTTTAAGCAGGGGGGCCGGGGGGGGGGGGGGGGGGGGGGATTCAAGTGGTTTTTGTTGTGTTGTGTTGTTTTTTCACTTCAGCCTCTGAGTGCCATGCTGGATATAAGCACACTTAGAACAAGGAAGATTCCTGAAACCCATTCTGCTCTTCCTTGACTTTTTAGAGCAAGTAACAGAGAAATAGCTTCAGAAAAGACCTTCTTTGGTCTTACCAAGAGTCTTATGTATGTGTGCACACAGAGGTCAGAAGAGAACTTACCAAATTTTGTTCTCTCCCTCTACCATGTGGATTCTGATGAGTAACCAAGCTATCAAGCTTGGTGGCAAGTGTCTTTACCACTGAGGCATCTCAGTGGCCCTTTTTTGAGACAGGATCTCACTGTGTAGCCCTGGCTGGCCTCCAACTCAGATCTGTCTGCCTCTGCTGCCACAGTGGGTGCTGGAATTAAAGGCATGCGCCACCACAACTGTTGTTTTGTTTTGAGACAGCTTAAGGTGGCTTTAAACTCACCATGTAGCTGAAGATGACTTTGAACTCTAGATCTTAGTTTATGTAGTGCTAGTGATTGAACCCAGGATGTGAGTGCCAGGTAAACACTTGCAGTTAAACTACATCCCAGCCTTACCTGGGTTTGCAAATGGGAGGAAATCTTTTTGTTAGTACATCTGACTTAACTGAAAGCCTGCTGAGTGCTACAGTACATGTGCTCATTGCTCAGTAACAAGACGTTCGTCCTTTCCATGTGGTTCTGATACTGCCCAGGATTTTCTTTTTCTCTTACTTAGCTCTTTTCAGAAAGGCCCTTAGAAGCTCAGGATGCTTGGAGATTAAGACTTTTCAACAGATAGAATGATATGAAAGCAGAGTGTTAGGAAAAATCGCCTGTAAGATTGTGGATTCCATTTTATTGAAGGGATATGATGACCTCTCAGTACCTGTGACCTTCTTGGATAATATAACCTGAGGGGTGTTTCTATTCCCCTCCATCCTTGGTCTGAGCTATCTGCCATTGGTGTCAGAACAGAGGTAGCCTTGTGTAGATGTTCTCTGCAGGGGACGAACCTTTTTTCTTCAGCTTTTGTAAATCCTGTTGCCTTTAGAATCTCTTCCAGTGATTGCAGCTCCATCCATGTGGACAAGACCACAGATCAAAGACTTTAAAGAGAAGATTCGGCAGGATGCAGATTCTGTGATTACAGTACGCCGAGGAGAAGTAGTCACCGTTCGAGTCCCCACTCATGAAGAAGGCTCATACCTTTTTTGGGAATTTGCGACAGACAGTTATGACATTGGGTTTGGGGTTTACTTTGAATGGACAGACTCTCCCAACGCCGCTGTCAGTGTGCATGTCAGTGAGTCCAGTGACGAGGAGGAGGAGGAGGAGGGTAAGGCTTTGGTCCATATTCAGTAGCTACTGAGTTGTGTGTGTGATGTCTTTGTCACTTTAGACTTCCTGCTGAACACTTCATGGACAGGGATACTCTGTTCAGTAGTGGGATGTTGACTGGAAAGGCTCTGAGAAAGGCCAGTCTCTCACAAAGAAGGCCCTGAGCATGAATTTCTCTAAGTGCCAGGACAATCTGATTGGCAGTGTGTTATTTTACTACTTTCTGGGTGTTGTTTTACTTATAGCCTTGTGTATTGACAAGCTAAATATAGGAAATCACTTTGAAATTTGTTGTAGTATATTTTGTTTGTTTTTGAGACAAGATCTTGCTTTGTTGCCCAAGCTTTTCCTGAACTGGTGGACTCAACCAGTCCTCTACCTCAGCATTCTTAGTAGCTGGAACTAGCAGTGGAATGCCACCATACCCCATTTTGAAAACACTGGAAAGAGCACGTAAGAATTCTTGTTAACAAAGGACTTTATTTGAAAATTGAAATAAAGGACATTTTAAGGTTATAAGAAAAGAGCTGGTAAAAGAGAGCTGAGGTCCTTGACCTTAGCTCTCCTGTGTGTCCCTCAACGGGACAATGGTATTGCCTACCATATACCATTCCTGGAACTCACTTTGTAGACCAGGCCTGCCTCAGTTTCCCTTGTGCTGGACCACAGGTGTGAGCCACTATGTCTGGATCTCCTACCTTTTTTAAAAAAAGTTGAGTATCATTTTACATTCACAGAAAACTTTTTTTGAGGGGATGGGGCTTCAAGACAGGGTTTCGCTGTAGTTTTGGAACCTGTCCTAGAATTCACTCCGAAGACCAGGCTTGCCTCAAACTCACAGAGAAGATCTGCCTGCCTTTGCCTCCCGAGTACCAGGATTAAAGGTGTGTGCAATACCACTGCCCAGCTCACAGAAAACTTTTAAAGATGACACATTAGCATATGCCTTTCTCCCAGTTTCCCCTGTTTTTGTTGTTGGGTTTTTGTGGTTTTTTTGTTTTGTTTTGGTTTCTTCAAGACAGGGTTTCTCTATGTAACACCTCTGGCTGTCTTGGAACTCACTTTGTAGACCAGGCTGGTCTCAAAACTCACAGAGATCCACCTGCCTCTGTCTCCTGAGTGCTGGTATTAAAGGTGTGCACCACCACTGCCTGGCATTTTTAACTTCTTAAATTGTACATTGTATTTTCTTTTTTTTAAAACATTTATTCATGTGTTTAATGTATATGAGTACCTTGTCTGCGTGTACATCTGCACACCAGAAGAGGAAATTGGATCCCATTATAGATGGTTGTGAGCTACCATGTGGTTTCTGGGAATTGAACTCAAGACCTTTGGAAGAACAGCCAATGCTCTTAACAGCTAAACCATCGCTCCAGCCCCCAATGTATTTATCTTTTTTTTTTTTTTTTTTTTTTTTTTTTGGGTTTTTCGAGACAGGGTTTCTCTGTGTAGCTTTGCGCCTTTCCTGGAACTCGCTTTGGAGACCAGGCTGGCCTCGAACTCACAGAGATCCGCCTGGCTCTGCCTCCCGAGTGCTGGGATTAAAGGCGTGCGCCACCACCGCCCGGCCAATGTATTTATCTTAATGAACCATTGTTGATAATGGTGCTGGTAAATCTGTATTTATTTATTTATTTTATTTTTTAAGGTGCCACATGATATATAATTGGTCCTATTTCCTTAAATTCCTCTTGAGAGCTTTTCACACTTTGAAAATTCCTGGCTGTGACCATCACATACAATTAGTAGATGTTGCCAGGACTCACTCTGCCATGTTATAAACCTAAAAGTCTTTTATCTTCTATACTGAAGTGCCCTTGACCTATTTTCTTTGAGATTGTTTATGTTTAATATCTTAGACTGAGGCAATTTGGCATAATTATCTCATTCTTACGAGCTTCTAGAAGTGTTTCTTCCCTAACTTGATATCATTGTATTCCAGAAAACTATTAACAGTGACAGTCTGTGATCAGAGCTGATTTTTTTATCCACTTGTATCATCTCTGTGTTAAATAGGCTTAGTGGAAATGTTGTGTTCCCCGATATATTGTGCACCTTAATAAACTTATCTGGGGTCAGAGAACAGAACAGCTGCTAGACAGACATAGAGGCCAGAAAATGGTGGCACTCACACCTTTACTCCTAGCCTTCTGGAGGCAGAGATCCATCTGGATCTCTGTGAGTTCAAAGCCACACTGGAAACAGCCAGGCATGGTGACTCACACATTTAATTCCAGGAAGTGATGGTAGGAAGCAGAAAGGTATATAAGGCGTGAAAACCAGGAACTAGAGCTGTTAAACTTTTAGGCTTTGGGGCAGCACAGTTCAGCTGAGACCCATTCAGATGAGGACACAGAGGCTTCCAGTTTGAGGAAACAGGGTCAGCTGAGGAATTGGCGAGGTGAGGTAGCTGTGGCTGGTTCTGTTTCTCTGATCTTTCAGCGCTCACCCCAATACCTGGCTTCGGGTTTGTTTTTATTAATAAGACATCTAACAACTCGTGTTCCATTTGTGGCTGTCTCTGAATACCTCTGTACTGTGGGTTTTATATTAGAATGTACAGAAACAGTAGTCCGCCTGGGCTCCCTCCACCATTTCTAAAATGAAGGCGGCCTCATTGTGGAAGAGATCAGCACAGCATTGTCTTTGTGTTGCATGAGCAAGATTGTTTTATAGAAGGAGTAGTTAGGAACTGGATGGATATGGAGTGGACAAAAGAAGGCTGGGAAATGTGAGCAGTAGTAACCCAGAGGGCTGGGGCACTGGTTGTTCCCACTACTTGACATTTGTCCCTGGGCTCCCAGAGTCCAGCAGCTGTGCGTAGTGGTGGTTGGGCATTGAAATGAGTGACTAATACATGCCTACGTGCAGAGTTGGAGATGACTAAGAGAATTCTAACAAGTCATTCTACTACAGAGAATGAAGTTTCATTGCTTGGTGAATAAGGTGGTTCTCCTGGACCTGTCATTTGACCTGTGTGGTTTTTTGTCACTTCCTCATAGAAAATGTCACTTCTGAAGAGAAAGCCAAAAAGAATGCCAACAAGCCTCTGCTGGATGAGATTGTGCCAGTGTACCGGCGGGACTGTCACGAGGAAGTGTATGCGGGTAGCCACCAGTATCCAGGGAGGGGAGTCTACCTCCTCAAGTTTGACAACTCCTACTCTTTGTGGAGGTCCAAGTCAGTCTACTACAGAGTCTATTACACTAGATAAAGCCCATGTCACAGAGCCTGGAGTCCAAGGTTGGGCAGAAGATGACATTTAATTTCTTTTGACTTTTGTGGCCCATTGGAGTCAGTGTTTACCTTCTTGATTTTGTTCTGATGGTTTATGAACTCTTGCTGGGAACCAGGATTTCCTGAGACCCTTAGCACTGATGCTCTGAGGTTAAAAGCAGTTCTGAAGACTCCTCTAGCCCTTGGGTGCTGACCAGCAGAGCCACTAATGGATACTGGAGTTATGTGAGCTACATGTTAAATATTCAGTCTCCAAAATAAACGTCCCAGCGTTGACCCGACCTGGCTGGTGGTTAGTCCCTTGCTGTCTGCTCCGTGTGTTCTACCAGAGCCCGCTGTTACAGCTCTAATTGAGAATGCTTCTCTTGTAGTCTACATCAGCTCCGACTGAATGAAGCTCAACAGTTTGAAACTTAAAAACTCAAGACTTCATGGATTATAGTAGAAAAAGAAATGGCCTCAACTTGGTCTTACCTGAGTGACCCAGGTTGTTTTTGCTTTGGATACAGCTGTTTAGTTAGTTATGTTACAAAGAATTATTTTCTGAGAGAATCTTAAACTTAGAATGTTCAAACTCAGTAGATAATTGACATATCAAGATACATAGAACACCTCAGCATCCTTCCTACCAGGTCCTCAGACTCTCAGGCCTTTTCTTCCATTTGCCATTCACACTACTGCTAACAAAACTAGTTGATTTTGTTTTGATATAGCTTCGTGAAACATCTCAAATTGAAATTATTTTCTGTAACAAGCATACAGCCAGGAGTTTTATGAACTCAAATTGGCACCTACTGAATTAAAATATGCAAAATCACTTTAATGTAATTGAGCATTTGAGGAGTACCATTGCACTAATAGAAAATCACTGCCAGGGACAGTCCAAATTTCTTTCTGTGTATTATTAGGGCACAAACTCCACGATCCAGTTTGGAAAGACATACTAGAGAAAATTGGAAATGCATAGACCCATGCTTAAATGTTACAGCTTTAATCTGTATTACGACCTACTGGTGGGAAAAGGTACATCTTTGGTTTTCTTATGAAAACAAATCCACATGGATTATTTTAAATTGTGTGAGTGGTTAAGTATCCAGAGGGAGGGAAATGTAGATAGATAGTGACAGAGATAGTGCACACCTTGTTACTTTGTACTGAAACCGAGACTTCCTTTTGACACCACAGACCACTTCCACAGGGATCCCATTGGCTGGCTGAGTGTGCACAGTTCACTACACAAGGCTGTTTGAGGTTTTCACATGCTGCATTTCTTCTGTTTTTAATACCTGGTTTTATAGGTATTTAACTCTGTTCTCTTTTGGTTGTTAAGAAACTGGATTGTTTTCTCCTAACCAGTGCTTAATCTGTGTTTTTGAATTTTGATTCAGAAGTAGTCGAATGCTGTTACATCCAGAATATTCGTTAGGCTGCCCTGCAGCTCTTCTGTATATATAGAAACCACAGAGTTAGGATTTTTTTTAATGAGAAAAAATACTGTATTTAAAATGTAAAATAAACTTTTAAAAAGCAGGCACTAATATATATTTCTTTCAGCCTTTGATTACAGTTTTGTCCTTGCACATGTTAAGAAATTATCTTCTAAAAATATTGTTCTTGGGAGCGGTGTATGTCACTCTACATAGCAGTCTCTTCACGTGCTCAGACCTGAACCGTTTGTTCTAAACTTCTTTATATCGCCTTTGGCTGTTGATTAGTACAAGTACGATTTCAAAAAGATCTTGAAAGTAATATATTTAATCAATTAAAATGTTTATCTGTAACTTGTTGATGTTTCTGTTAATACAGTTCCCTGAAGCATTTAACTGTCTTTTTTCATTTAGACAGAATAAGGAGAAATGCCTTAGATGATCTTTTCTGTTTATCTAGTTGAAAAATACCAAACTCTTTCTGATTAGCTCGTTTTCTCTATGAGTTATAATGGATTTTAAATTGTCCAGACTTGACGAGAAGTGTTGGCTTTTCATCCTGCAGATGATCAGGTTATAAAGTTACTTTCCAAAGCTGCCCTGTGTGGCCTTTGCTGTGACGTGGGGAGGTACTCTATTTTATAATGGCTCCTGGGGTGTGTAGCCTCTAATTGGACGGATGATTACAGAGCATAAGACCACACTGGGTACAGGGTACCAGGACTTGTTGGTTTTTTTTTTTTTCTTTTTTGTTTTTGAATTTGGAGAGACTGAATGAGATGATTCTCTTGGTCCCCGTGCTGTGTGGTGTACCTTGAAATCAAGCCCAAGAATGACAGTTAAGGGAAGCTGTTGTGGTGGCAGCCTGTTTTGGAGGCCGTGTTTCAGAGTCTTAACCACTCATCTTAGGGAAGAAGAGAAGCAGCTGCTTCCAGATGGCTGCAAGTTGTCCACTGAAGATCAGAATGTGACGCTTCAGCAACCCAGACTGTCTTTGTTTCATTCCCACGCTTTTTTTCATGCAATCTAAAAATGTATGCCAGTATATCTATTAGGAGTAGAGAAAATTTTAATTCATTTCTATTCACCAACTTTTTTAAATGTGTATGAATTGGTATTAAACATTAGATGTTGCTATGTGGCCCAGGCTGGCCTCAGACTTGCTATATAACTCATGCTGCCTTGAATTCTTAGTCCTCCTGCTTATGCCCTCTGAGTATTGAGATTATAGATGTGTAATACCATACCCAGCTAGTGTTAGACTTTTTTAATTTATTTATTCATGTGTATGGGTATTTTGCCTAGATGTATACCTGTGCACCATGTTCACGCCTAGTTCATGCAAAGGCCAGAAGAGGCATGGGACACCCTGGAACTGGAGTTACAGACAGCTGAGTTACCATGTGGATGCCGGGAAATTGAACCCAGGTCCTCTGGAAGAGCGGCCAATGCTCTGAACTGCTCAGCTATCTCTAGCTCCTGTTGACTTTTATCTTACATACTTACCTGCAATCCTTAACTTTCTTGCTGAGTTGGGTGTCTGTTTTGTTTTGTTTTTGAGAGTAAATGCTTTGATCTCATCACTCCAGCCGTTTCCAAGCACTTAACCATCTCTTCCAGTTATGCTAAAATATAGGTCCACTAAACTACCTCCATTTTACAAGGTCACATGCCACTTGTGAGCTGTGAATTGATTATTTGAATTATTTGACCAGGTACTTAATTTGGTACAGGAAATTAAGGGGCTGACTTTGCCGTATAATTGACACTGCCCCCCCCCCACCTTTTTTTTTGTCCAGGGTTTTACTCTGTAGTCCAGGCTGGCCTGGAGCTCCCTATGTACCCCAAACAGGCTTTAAACTCACAATGATCCTTCTGCCTCAGCCTCCTTCGTTCTGGGACCACAGGTATGAACCACTGCACCTGGCTGAATATTACCTTTTGAATGTAGGCAGTCAAAATGTGGTAGACGTACAAATTGAAACACTTACCTTATTTCTGAAAAGAATGCATACACATTGGATTATACATGTAAAAATTATTTTTAACTTTCAAAGCATACTTGGGGCTGCAGAGGTGGCTCAGTAGTTAAGAGCTTATACTGTTCTTCCAAGACATGAGTTCAGTTCCTAGCACCCACACACATCAGGCTGCTCACAACTATAACTCGAGCTCCAGAGAATATGAGGGTATTTTCTGGCCTCCCTGGGCACCCATACACCTGTGAGCATACTCTTGTTAACATATACACATACACATAAATAAAAATAAATCTCTTCTAAAAAAAGTCCAGGTTGTTTTGGGAAACTTGCAGATACTAAATACAGGTCGAATAACCAACATCCTAAATGCTTGGTAACACAAATGTTTCTGGTTTTAGGCTTTTTCAGATATTGGAATGTTTCTATAGACATTATGAGATGTCTTGGGACCTGAATGTGAGCATGAAAGGCATTCATGTTTGATATGCATGTTATACTCATAGCCTGAAGATAAGTTTATTCAGTCTGCCTGCATTTGACTGTAGCCCATCAGGTGAGATTAGTTATGGATTTTTCTCCACTTGTGCGTCAGTGCTTGGAAAGTATTTGGAACTTTAAATTTTCAGGTGGTTCAGCGGGTAAAGGCTCTTGCTGTGCATGTTTGAGCCAGCTGAGTCAGAACTCCATGTAAGGGTAGAAGGAAATATCCACATTCTACAAAGTTGTCCTCCAATTTCCACGTGTGGACTGTAGTGTGTATATGCCCTCATACACATACACACACAACAATAAAGTTTAATTCTAAAAAAATGAAATTCCAGTGTGTTTCCCTGGTAACTACTAACAGGATAGAGCATTTCTTTTATTGATTGGATTTCCTCTCCTGAAAATTTCCTGTGTCCTTTACCCATTTCAATTAAGCAAACTTCTTTTTCGATGTATCAGTTTTATTTGTGTGTGTATTTTGCATGCTTGTATGCCCGTGCACCCCATGTGTACATGGTGCCCACAGAGGTCAGAAGATGGTGTCAGATAAAGTGGATTGAGTTACAAACAGTTGTGAGCTGCTCTGGGGGGACCTGGACCTGTGCAAGAAAAATAAGCTAGCTCAGTCACTGAGCCATCAATTGAATAATTTTATATGATTTCATTATCTTTAATTCAGTTTAAGCTGGGTTTGGTGGTGCATGCCTTAAATTCCATCACTCAGAGGCAAGTGGATCTCTGGATTTGAGGCCAGACTGGTCTCCATAGCAAATCCTAAGACAGCCAGGGCTACATAGACCATCTCTAAATATATATATAGTTTACAAGGCTGGCAAATGGCTCAGGGGGTAGAAGCACCTGCCACCAATCTTGAGGACCTGAGTTCAATCTCCAGGACCCATAGGGTGGAAGGAGAAGTTCTGCAAATTGTCCTCTGACCCCCACATTCAAGCTATGGCACGTGTGCACCGACATACACACCCACACACAAAAAACAATTTAAAAAGATTTCCCGCCGGGCGGTGGTGGCACACGCCTTTAATCCCAGCACTCGGGAGGCAGAGTCAGGCGGATCTCTGTGAGTTCGAAGCCAGCCTGGGCTACCAAGTGAGTTCCAGGAAAGGCGCAAAGCTACATGGAGAAACCCTGTCTCGAAAAACCAAAAAAATAAATAAATAAATAAATAAAAGATTTCCCAATTCTAGTCTGTATATTGCATGTGTGCATATGCTGTGGGATGTCATTCTGTATGCTGTGAATATGTGTTGCTCTGATTGGTTGACAAATAAAATGCTGATTGGCCAGTAGCCAGGCAGGAAGTATAGGTGGGATAAGCAGACAAGGAGAATTCTGGGAAGAGGAAGGACAGAGTTAGGAGTCGCCAGCCAGACACAGGAAGCAAGATGTCAAGGCAGAACTGAGAAAAGGTAATAAGCCACATGGCTAAATATAAATAAGAATTATGGGTTAATTTAAGTGTAAGAGCTAGTCAGTAATAAGCCTGAGCTAATGGCCAAGCAGTTATAAATAATATTAAGCCTCTGTGTGATTATTTTATAAAAGGCTGTGGGACTGTGAGTGAGAGATTTGTACCGACCACGGGCCACACAGGACATAGGAAATCTTCCAACTACACGTATAGATGTTTTTAAGTTGTTAGTTTTTATTCCTGTATAGATTTTTGCTTATTTCCATGTGTATGAGTTTCTATACTGCTAGATTTATGTTTGTCCACTTACATATATTTTTAATTTTTGTTTTGGTTTTTTGTTTTTCAAGACAGGATGTTTTAGAGTTTCTATTGCTGTGAAGAGACATCATGACCACGGCAACTCTTATAAAGGAAAACATTTAGTTGAGATGGGTGTGGCGACTTAGTTTCAGAGGTTTAGTCCATTATCATGGGGAGCATGGTGGCATGTAGCAGACATAGTGCTGGAGGAGTAGCTGAGTTCTACGTATTGCAGGCAACAGGAAGCTAAATGAGACACTGGACTACCAGTATCCTGACCATAGGAAACCTCAAAGCCCACCCCCACAGTGACATACTTCCTCCAACAACAGACCCACTCCAACAAAGCCACACTTCTGGGCATGGAGAGATGGCTCAGAGGTTAAAAACACCGACTGCTCTTCCAGAGGTCCTGAGTTCAATTCCCAGCACCCACATGGTGGCTCACAAAGCCACACTTCCTAGTAGTGCCACTCCCAATGAGATGGGGGTCAAGTACATTCAAACTACCACACAGTGTTTCTGCCCCTGGCTGTCCCAGAACTCACAGAGATCTGCCTGCCTCTACCTCCAGAGTGCTGGGATTAAAGGTGTGCACCACCACCTAGCTTGATTTCTTTCTTTTTTTTTTTTTTTTTCCTCGAGACAGGGTTTATCTGTGTAGCTTTGCGCCTTTCCTGGAACTCACTCTGTAGCCCAGGCTAGCCTCAAACTCACAGAGATCCGCCTGCCTCTGCCTCCCGAGTGCTGGGATTAAAGGTGTGCACTACCACTGCCCGGCCTTAATTTTATTTTTTAATGTGTGTGTGTGTGGGGTTGTGTGAGCCTTAGTGTAGGTGCCCTTAGGCCAGAAGAGGAAATTGGGTCTCCTTGGACTGGAGTTAAAGGAGAACTTTTTTTTTTCCCTAGTCAATGTTCTATTGCTGTGAAGAGACACCATGACCAAGGTTGCAAAAACTCTGGGCTACAGAGTGAGACCCTATCTCGAAGGAAAAAAGGGGGGATAAGAGGGCCAGAGAGATGGCTTAGAAGTTAAAAACCCTTGTTTTTGTTCTGCAGGGAACCCAGATTGACTTCCACATACATTCAGTCAAGTATGTACATAAAGTTTAAATATATATATTAGTTAATACATATAACTAATATGACGCTCCCCCTTGAGAAGTTCAAGCCTACCCCTGCCTTGGGCCATACAATGTGGCACACACATACATATACCCAGATCCCTGCTACATCAGGAGGATCATGAATCATGAATTCAAGCCTGGGCTACACTGAGTGCCAGGGCTACATAGCAAGACTGTCTCAGAAAAAAAAAAAAAAAAAAAATCCAGCCGGGCAGTGATGATGCACACCTTTAATCCCAGCACTAGGGACACAGAGGTAGTCGAATCTCTGTGAGTTCGAGGCCAGCCTGGTCTACAGAGTGAATTTCAGGTCAGCAAGGCCTACGCAGTGAAACCCTGTCTCAAATAAAACAACAAATCTACCTTAGCTGGTTGAACTTTCTGAAAAGCCCTCATGATTTAAGAGTTCAGCTGCATCTCCACTACAGCTGACATAGCACAGATCACAGAAAAACCATCTCCAAAGCCTGACAGTTTCCATACATGGTGTGTGTCGGGGGGGAGGGGGGGACGGGGTATTCTGTTCTGTTGACCTGTGACCTCCTCTTGTGATCTAGGAAATGAGAGCTAGCCCTGGCAGGTTGAAGGAGGTATGTGTAAAACACCTTTGGCAGCCAGTGAGCAATAAAAATAGTAAAAATGGGTGCCTCATTTGGCCTTTGCACCCCCTCAGTAGGGTGTTGAGATTCCCCTGGAAGCAGCACCTCCCAGAACCCTGCTGCAGAAGGAGGACATGTGGGCCCTTTTCTCCCTTTGGACCTTGCTATAATAAACTGATCAGAGAAACCAGTGCCCCTGGACTGCCGTCTGCAGGACCACTGACTCCTCCAATCCCAACAAGGAAGGTTCGGCCTCCCTCTAAGGAGTGTCACTTCTCCAACAGGAAGTAGAGCGGACTTTGGCACTGGGAAAACAGAAAGGTGTGAGCTACTAAAGGGTCCAGCCTGGCGCAGGTGGCAGTGGGGGTGCGATCTGCCCAGGTTGCTGAGCTGTGTGGAAGATAACTGGGTTTGCACAGAGCCACAGACCGGGTCGTCCTGTTGCCCCTGTTACTCATACCTCAGCCTGGCATGTGTAATGAGGTGCTGAATTAGGGACAGGGATGTCATCAGGCCTCCCACATCAGCTTGGGAGCAGCTTGCATCAGAGTCTCTGTCACATTCAATAACAACTTACTAAAACTGGGCATGAGCTTTTTTCCACATTGCTTCCAAAGGGGTCCGCTGTGTCGGGATGAAGCTGTCACCTTCCCACATGCTAGCTGTCAGAAACTCATTGAAACTGGACAGCAAACTTTGTACTTTTTTTTTTTTTCTTTCAAGACGTGGTTTCTCTGTGTAGGTCTGTCTCTCCTGGAAGTCACTCTGTAGACCAGGCTGATCTCAAACTCAGAGATCCACCCACCTCTGCCTCCTGAGTACTGGGATTAAAGGGGTGCACCATCATACCTGGCTCAACCCCACCAACAATGAATAAGGGTCTCCTTCTCCATATCCTCTCCAACAGTTGTTGTCCGATTTGTTGACGATAGCCATTCTGACTGGAGTGAGATACTTAAATCTTTTTTAATGTGCATTGGTGTTTTGCCTGTGTGTGTGTCTGTGTGAGGGTCCCTTGGAACTGTAGTTACAGACAGTTGTGAGCTGCTATGTGGGAATTGAACCCGGGTCCTCTGGAAGAGCAGTATGTGCTCTTAACTGCTAAGCCATCTCTCCAGCCCTGATAATTCATATCTTAAAGTAGTTTTAGTTGGCATTTCCCTGATGACTAGGGGTACTGAACGCTTTTTGAAATAGTTATTAGCCATTTGGGGTTTCCATTCAGTTTGTTTTTCCATTTGTTTATTATCAGTTTTATTTTCTTGGTGTTTAATTTCTGCAATTCTTGCTGGGCATAATGATGCACACCTTTAATCCAAGCACTCAGGAGGCAAAGCCCGGCAGAACTCCATGAGTTCAAGGCCAGCCTGATCTACATAGTTCCAGATTAGCCCAGGCTGCATAGTAAGACCCTGTCTCAAACGTTTTTTCTGCAATTCTCCGTGTATTCTGTCCATGCCAACACGGGTGTTGGAAGTGAAGCTGGGAAAGATTTTCTCCATCCTGTGGGCTGTCCCTCTGCTGACTGTGTGTTGTTGTGCAGAAACTCTTTATTCCTCTGGGCCCTTGTGTCGATGCTGGGGTTGGTTCCTGGGCTGTTGGTGTTCTATGTAAAAGGTTCTTGCCTGCCCCAGTATCTCATAGGGAATCCCCTGTTTGCTTGGAAAACTTCCAGTGCTTTGGGTTTTAAAATAAGGTCTTTGATCCATTTTGAACTGAGTTTTCTGCAAGGTGAAAACTAAGAATCCAACTCCACCCCAGTTTGCCAGCACTATTTGTGAAATACGCTATCTTTCCCTCAGTGTATGATTTTTGCCTCTTTCATCAAAAATTAAGTGGACATAACTTTGTCATTTTATTTCAGAGTCTTCGGTTCGGTTCCATTGGTCTACTCGTCTGTTTTATGCAAGCATGAGGCTGTCTTTATCATATAGCTCTATAGTGTGATCTGAGGTCAGGTATTCATTCCTCCAGCAGTGTTCTTACCCCTTAGAATTGCCTTAGCTATTCTAGTCCCTTGTGGTTCCATATGAATTCTTCTAATTGATTTTTTTAACCTGTGAAATATAACATCAGAATTTTTACAGCTGTTGCGTAAGTCTATAATTCATCTTAGTTGCATAGCCGTTTTCACAATATTCTGGCAACCCAGGAACGTGTTATATCTTGCCTCTATCTAGTATCTTCTGTGATTTCCTTTTGCAATATTTTGGAGTTTTTTTAATTAAAGGTTTATTTTATTTTTGTATGTGTATGAAGGTTTTGCCTGCATGTATGTACGTGCACCTTGTGTGTGCCTGTGGATGGTTGTGAGCCACGATATGGATGCTGGAAATCGAACTCAGGTCCTCTGCAAGACCAGCAAGTGCTCTTAACTGCTCAGCCATCTCTCCAGTCCCATATTTTGAAATTTGAATTGTAGATGTCCTCCACTTATTTGGTTAGCTATATTCCTAAATACTTAATTTTGGGGGTTATTTTTGAATGGGATGCTTTTTCTAATTTCTTTCTCTGCATATAGACTGTTGGTATAGATGAAGGTACTGTATATTATTATTATTATTATTATTATTATTATTGATTTTGTATCTTGCCAATTTATTGTAGCTGTTTATTAGGTCCAAAAGTTTTCTATTGAACTCAATAGGATCTTTTTGTTGTTGTTTTATTTTGTTTTAGTTTTTTGAGACAGGGTTTCTCTATGTAACAGCCCTGGCTGGCCTGGAACTCACTTGGTAGACCAGGCTGACCTTGAACTCACAGAGATCATCTTCTGCCTGCCTCAGCTTCCCAAGTGCTAAAGGCATATTCCACCTTGCCTGCCCACCTGGGCTTTTTTGTTTTTGTTTGTTTTGGATGAGCTTCAATCTCATTGTGTGTGATGGGTCTGCTTAAATTCTCCCTCAGGGCTTAATTTTGGGCTATAGCCGAGATGCATTTAGAAATAGGCATGCATGTAGAGTTAGAGAGATGTCTCAGCCATTAAAGGTTAGGCTCACAATAAAAAATACAAGAAATACATATGCATGCATATATAGGACATGAAAATGAAGGCGGGCTCTTTGGGAAAGGAAG